TTTTAACCTAGTATATCTTAGGACCCTAGTAGTACTCTATAAATTATAGTATTTAAAAAAAGTTCTGTTATTGATTTAAAAATTTTTTATTTTATTCGATGTGTCAAAAAAGATACTTTAAATATCACGTGACTAGTGTGCTAGTTCAGGACTAGTCCCAAACTAGTCTCTCTAGTCCCTAGTTCAGACTAGTTCAGACTAGGCTTCCGGTAAACTACTTAACATTAGGGTGATCATCAAACTAATCAAATCAAACTACAAGTAGCCATTATATATACTAATTACTATTTGGATATTTTTTATGAAAATCTAAATTTACTGCAAATAATAACAACTTTTAGTATACTTTCTCTTGAAATAACATAATAATTCCTAGTTTAATTTGTTGTAAACAATATTTTAATTTGTTTAGAATAGTGTAATAGAGGCATTTTTTCAGTTTATTCTTTTTACGAATAGCAATTTTTCAACAAAGTAAACAAGCTTTACTCAAAATGTAATAAGAATAAGTTCAATAAAATTAAAAAAACTAAGCCTATTATTAAAAAGAGAGAAGTGAGAGCTACAAAATAAAAAAAAATTTGATATAAAAATTTTATGTAGTTAACTAGAAAATCATACCTTCATCAATCATATTAAAAAAATATTGCTATTTTGGTTAAAAACATGGCACAAACTAAAAAAACATTTAAATAATGGCAATATCTAAAAAAGGCATGTCAATTATCAATATATACAAAAGGTCAAAAATATTGTCAATACAAGCAACTATCTCTATTCAATAAAGATTTGCAGTTCAAAGAAAAAAAATTTGATAAACATTTGTAAAAAGTGAGTTTTTCGAAATTTCCAAAATTGTTAAAAAACCTATAATAAAAAAAATCTTTATATAGTAAATTTTATATGTATGGCTACTTATGGTTTGATTAGTTTGATAATCACCCTAACTTAATATCTCTAGTTTTGTCATATATAGTTGACTGAATACCTAATGTTGAATAGCACGATTTGAATGCTACTCAAACTTCTATTTGAACTACTATTCAATACTATTATATGACTTCACGAACATGCATGTTCACAAAATCATATAGTAGTGTTAAATGGCAGTTCGAATAGCATTCAAATTGTGCTATTCAACATTTCGAATTAGGGTGTTCGATGCATGTAAATTAAATATATGTATACTAATACGCAGTCTTAGTAAATTTACTATGTAGTAAATTTTTTTTGTATAACCAAGACTATGATCTATAGTAAATGCTATGATTAATTTTAAGATTTTTAAAATTTTAAAAAAATCGCTATTTTTCATTAAAATATAAAGTCTGTTGAGCAATTAGGCAAAATTTCTAAGTTATTATATAAAATTTTGAGGAGATAAGATTTGAAATTCAAGAAATTTTAATAGTGTTTTGATAAGATGATATCAATTTCAAATCATATCTTCTCAAAATTTTACATAATAATCTAAAAATTTTACCTAATTGCTCAACAGACTTTATATTTTAATAAAAAGCTTAATTTTTTTAAAAAAAAATTTTTATTAAAAATTTATTTAATTTATTAAAAATATAATATATATTTTAATAATGTTAACTAATATAGATTGTTATATAAAAAATTTAATATCGATATCATATTCGAATTTCCTATAGACTATACATAAATTTGATTTATTGAATACCCCAATGTCGAATCTTTTAAATTTTACTAGTATCATTATGTAGAAATTATTATATTATGCCTTTTTTATAGCTTTCTTTTAGAGTTAGAGTTAGGATTTAAGATTAGGGCTGTTAATAAAAGGGTATATATGATTTATAAATTCAGCATGAAAATTCTTACTAATCACATATGTTAACTAGCCTATATACTTTGCATTCACTTAATAAACTATTTAAAGCTTTTTGAACTGAAAGTTCTCTTTATTTAGCAACTTGTATGTTGTTTATACATATAGATAATTTTATATAAGATAAATAAATAAAATAATTATATTTTTTTTTAAATCGTTCATATTTTTTTTTTTTATTTGTTACTTTTTTATAACTAATAATGTAAATTATTTGATTTTGTAGGTTAATATAAAGAAATCAGAATTATACTACGTTATACTATAGTATCTTTGAGGTAGACCTTTATAAAATTACTTATAAAGAAAGGTTGTGAGCTATTCTATAGAGAAACTCTATTAATGTATAATTTTTTCGATTATTGATAATAGTATCTAGTCTTTTTTCTCTATCAATTACATCCTTTTTTGGTTTTGGATATTGTATACCATAGTAAATAGCTTCAATTTGATGCTCAACTTGTTGTTGCTCTTTTTGGAATTCTCTAATAATGGTATAAATACCTATGTGGAGTCGACCAACCAAATTTTTCTAATATTAGTACTAAGCTTTGACAACATTTGATGTTCGGAGAACACCAATTTTTATAGAGTCATGCACAGACCATATTTGTAGTGAGAAAAGAGGTACTGCACAACTAATAGTACTATTATGCATTTGTAATCTTATTTTTCTATGAACATAATTGTCTTTAAACTATTGCACTATATTATTTGTTTCTGGAGTCATTTTTTCTTTTAAAATATCAAATGCTGTAGGAAATTCATTTGATGGTAAGAACACTAAAGCAAATAGTTGACGCAGTATAATACTTAAATTCTCATCAGTGCTATACTGAGTTGAAAGCTCATACTCTTGTATCTTTCTCCAGCCACTTTGTCCTAAGTAAAAGAAGCACCCTTTGTTGTGAATGCCAAGAAACTCGTTATGCAATATATTAATTGCAGCAAGTTCAAAATCTGTAAGAATTACTGTAAGGTTTAAAGAGATATTACTCTCTTCTGCGAATTCAATTAAGTTTTGAAATAATACTCTATATAAATCTTTAGATTTTTTTGTCATTAGCATATATACTAACAGAAGAACTCTTGAGTTATCCGCTGTACCAATAGGAGTATAGATTGTATATAATTGGTGAAAAATAGCTAGAATAGTCTTAAAGGTACCATCTATTATCCAATATAATACTCTAAATAAATGTTATATATTGGTTTTTGTGGTAAACAAGAGAATTCTATCTTCCTGATTATAGAATCTCTTACTAAAAAATTTTCTTTACTTAATATTGAACAAAGTGAATCAGGTATATTAACATTATCGAGATTTTGAGGTTGTAGCAGCATGTTTGCTTGCCTAATATATTTAATTCATATACATAAAGCATTTTGTGATAGCATATAGAGATAGATTTCTCTTGGAATACTAACGATAATATTTTGAATTACTTGAGCTGGTTGATTATTTGTTTCTTTAGCTTGTTCCTTTATAAGAGTAATATTTTTAGCTACTTCTGCACTATTTGCCTGTAGAGTATGACTATGACTACCAGTGAAGTTTTTAAAGTAGTATAAATTATTTATATATTTTGTTACAGTTTGACCTTTATATTTGTAAGATTTTTTTTTCTCACAACACCAGTAATATGTATCCTCATGATACCATTCTTTTACAAACAAATAACTACGAACATTGATCTTATTCATTTCTTTCTGAGAAGGTACAATTTCACAAATTTTATCCATTATTTAATGATAATTATATAATAGATATTTTATTAGAGATAATAACTGAATTTAAAGGTCGAATCTTATTTTTTACAAAGGGAAATTAGGATATTTTATACTTTACAGAAAAGTATAAGCAATTTAGATTTTTAATATGAAAAAATATATCTTTTTCATATTCAAAATATAATTGATAATATGTATATCTTAATTCGAATCGAATAATTTTGATACATTCGATTTGAATAATATAAAAATCAGTGATTCCATAATGAGATATTATTGATTCATCATATATTAAAAAAAAATATCTCATGATTGAATAATCAAATTGAATGATTTTAGTATCATTCAATCTTCTTGATGAGAAGAATTAAATATCAAACAATAGATCATATGAGTAAAGATTATGTAATCCATATCAAAAATTATATTTTTAAAACAAATAAAATTTAATATATTAAAAAAAAAATAAAAATTATCCTATTTTTGACCATTAAACATAGAGGCATTATTATTTTTATTAAAATTTTTTTTTTATTTTACATAATATATATTATTTACAAAATTCCATATCCTATACTCTAATAACGAATCTGTTTGTCAATTATAAAATAATTAATATACGTATAAAACTTGATGTTAAATTTGCGAAGTAAATCCTACAAAATAAAAAAAATTAGAAGAAAAATAAAAATATACTGTTTCAGATCCAAATCCTTATTTCCAGTACTATTTTGTAGTCCTAAGCAATGCACAAACTTACAAAAAAGGAAAAGTTAGTTGAAAGAACTAAAAATTAAAAAAAATGACAAGTAAATTAATGTTACTTATCATTATGTAGCCAAGCCCAAAACACTATTTCTGGTGAAACACAAACCTACAAAAAAAAAGAAAGTTAAAAAAAAAATAAAAATAAAAGCTACTAATTATTATAGTCACCAATTCTAGCAAAATACAATACAAGAAATAAATACAATAGCCAAGTTCAAATTACAAATTCCAGTAAAGCACAAACCTACAAAAGAAGAAAAGTTAGTTAAAAGAATTGAAACCAGTGAAGCACAACACAAGAAATGAAACTACAGCCAAGCCCAAATTACTAATCTCAAGAGAAGCAAAAATGCAAGAAATTATTCAGTTCAAATCAATCTCAGTAAAACACAAACCTACAAAAGAAAAGAAGAAATTAAAAGCAGAAACTACAGCAAGAAAATAGAAGCTACTTACTATTCAGCAAAGCCAAATCACCAATCTCAGTGAAGCATAATATAGGAAATAAAACTATATCCAAGTCTATATCACAAATCCCAAAAAAAGCATAAATATGAGAAATTATACAATCCAAATCAATTCTGGCAAAGCACAACCCTACAAAAGAAGAGAAGGAATTAAAAAGTGAAAAAAAACTAGCAAGAAAATGGAAGCTACTTATCATTACAGCAAAGCCAAATCACTAATTCCAGTGAAGCACAACACAGGAAATGAAACTACAACCAAGTTTACATCACAAATTCTGAAGAAGCACAAACATGAGAAATTATACAGTTCAAATCAATCTCAGTGAAGCATAACCCTACAAAAGAAGGGAAGGAATTAAAAAATGAAAAAAAAACTAGCAAAAAATAAAAATTACTTACTATTATAGTAAAGCCAAATCATCAATTTTAGTAAAGCACAGCATAAGAATGAAGCTACAACTAAGCTAAAATTACCAATTCTAGAGAAGTACAAATGCAAGAATTCATATAGTCCAAATCAATTCTAGCAAATCACAAACCTACAGAAGAAGAGAAGAAATTAAAAGCAGAAAAACAGTAAAAAATAAAAGCTACTTATTAATTTCAGCGAAGCACAACACAAGAAATGAAGTTACAAATACAAGAAAACATCAATTCAAATTAATTTTAGCAAAGAAAATGACAATTCAAATTAATTCTAGTGAAGTACAAATCTACAAAAGGAGTGAAAGAATTTAAAAGCAGAAAGAAACAACAAGCTACTTATCGTTATAGCAGAGCCAAATCACTAATTCTAGTGAAACACAATACAAGAAATGAAGCTACAGCTAAGTCCAAATTAATCCCAGACCTGAACCTACAAA